AGGCTTCCTATGAGACCCTGGCCCTGCCCGGGAGCCCCTGGCCCTTCCCATGGGCCGGTGACTCCTCCCCATCCCAGCGATCCTTCACTGAATCCCAGAATCGTTCTGGTTGGAAAAGACCTTGAAGATGATGGAGTCCAACCACTCTACCAACCCCTGACCCAACTCTACCCAGTCCAAGTGCTCAAACCATGTCCCTCAGCACCATCTCCAGGGCTTGGAAACCCCTCCAGGGATGGGGACCCCACCCCTGCCCTGGGCAGCCTGGGCCAGGGCCTTATAACCCTTTCAAGGAAAGAATTGTTCCCAAGATCCAACCTCAACCTCCCCTGTGCTCCAGCCCCTTCCCCAGCTCCCATGTCCTTTCTCTGGACATGTTCCAGCCCCTCAAGGTCCTTCTTGTTGTGAGAGGCCCAAAACTGACCTCAGGATTTAAGGTGCAGCCTCCCCAGTGCCTGCACAGGGGACAGTCCCTGCCCTGGTCCTGATGGCCACCCCAGGGTGACACTACCCCTCCCAGGATGTCCCACCTCGGTCATAGTCCCTGCTCCGGTCATCGTAGCGGTCCCGGCCCCCGAAGCCACGGTCCATGTCCCTTCGTGGGCCGTCACGATACCGGTCATCGTAGCGATCCCGATACCCTGGCAGTGGGAGAAGAGGGATCCAGGATGTGGTGGGACCTGGTCCATGGTCCTTCCACAAAGTACCCAGCCGGGATCTCCCTGCACTCCTTCCCCAGTGGAGCAGAGAAGTCCCACTGCTGCTCCCACACTCATCCAGGTGGGAACGGGCCCCAGGCCAGCTGTGCCTGTGGCCCAGGGCTGATGGAGGGGGACAAAGGACAGTGGGATGTCCAGGTCATGGGGAGTTTTGAGGGAAGCAAGGGAATAGGGGTGGAATTATGCATGTGGAAAGATGGGGCAGGACCTGGGATACAGACACTGGGAAATGAACCACCGAGTCTGGCAGGAAGCAGAGGGAACCGCAGCCTGAGCCCTGGGATCTCGCTTGATTCCCTCAGGACGCCGGGGAAAGGGACACTGGGGACACTGGGGAGACCAGGGAAAGGGACATTGGGGACAGCAGGGCCCCCCTCGCTGCCACTCACGGTCCCCAAAGGCGTC